TATATATATATATATATATATATATATATATATATATATATATATTTGCAATGTTGGGCTGCATGACACCTTGCAATTTTACTTTTTAAAGTTTAAAAATTATTGCATGATCATTCTCTTCTTATGACTGCAATATTTTTAATTATTGTCTAATTAATGTGGAGGTCACACACAAGTCATTTGTTGTTGTTGATGCGTTATATAACCATTTAATTTCACAATCACAAAGCTTTAGTCATTATGACAGCTTGAGGTAGACATCCTTTTAAAAATCTAATTTCTTGTTAATTTACATAACACAATATGAGAACTGAAAATCAGACATTTTAAAATTGGAATTGGATTGGACCAATTCCAATCCACCAGGATTGGAAACATGGTGAATATTTTAGTCAATTTTGATTTTCTTATGCTTAGCTGTAAGATTTGCTTTTTTGTGGGTGCAATTACTATAAACAATTATTAAATAAAAAATATGTAACTTAAAGTCTGGAAATCACAGACTCTTAAAAATCAAGGTACAAAAAGGGTGAAGGCAGATATAAAAGAACCGTTTTGGGTTCCTCAAAGAACCTTTCAGTTAACAATTCTTAAAATTTGCCTCTTTATTTTTTTTTTCTTGGTGTAAAAAACATTTCAATAATTTAAAGACCCATTTTTTTTTTTTTTTTTTTTTTTTTAAATAACCATTAATGCATTGGAAAGGTTCTGTGGATGTTAAAGGTTCTCCGTGGAACCAATGAAGCCAATAAAGGCCATTTATATTTAAGAGTGCATATGTAGCCTACAGTATATTGTAAACAGGTTGTGACTTAATGAGGGTGAACTAGTTGAAGATTGAATACCCTTACAATTTTAACCTAAGGGGTTGTTGCCCTCACCTCCCAAAAGAAAGTCAAAACAAAAGGTTGCGAAATCTCAAAAGTATTTATTTAATTTTTTTACGTACAGTTATAGCCATTTAACCGTTTAAAAAACAAATTAACAGTTAAAGTGGACGCTATCTACACAATACGAGCTATTTATACGGTTGAATCCGTGTCAGGCTATATATTATACGTATATTACACATTATTTTCTATTTTATAACTAATTTATATATCTCCAGTATATATATATATATATATATAAAAACTTTAGTTGGTTTCGTCGTTCTTTTGTTTTATTAATGACCCGAAAACAAATAAATAAATCATCCATGTTACGTTCAGTTTTGATCTCTAGGCCAAAGTCCCTTTTGTCTAGGCCACGTTTTTGTAGTTCGTAGGCACTGCCATGACACTACATTTCCCATGAATCCTCAGCGCGGAAGTTCGAAGTCAGCTGATGTTCTTGTTGGGTTGCTGGAACTGGAAGTTCTTGCTATAATCTCGCGTAAATTTTTTACGTATTAGTATTATTGCCGTTTTGCTTTAAATGATGTTGCGTCCTAAAGCATTAACACAATTACTCAGTCAAGCAAACACCAGTGGCGTACAAAGCACGCTGTGAGTATATAAAATTCATTCTTTGTTCTTATCAGTAGCTTTAGCTGGCAGATAAATTGGTAAACAATAATATGTTGTACATTTATGTTATTAACGTGCTCTCTTGAGTTAAAAGTAAGGCATTTTGTTGCGTATGGGCTTTGCTTAATGCATGTTAAACAATTAAAAATGTTTATATAGTCATATTTAGAAATATCGGAATATCTTTTTCATTAGATTAAATATCAAGTCAAATCCCATTATTTTAAATAAATATATCACACACACCATTTTAAAGAACAAACATTACACAAAAATATATTTGTTGTTTAATGTTTATCTGTGTGAACTCAAGGAGAACTGACTTCATACATCCACACAAAACACCAAAACATCCGTTCAATTTTAATGAACTAGTGTAGGCCCTATGTTGTGCAAATAAAATCATGAAGAAAAGTGAAATTAAGTCAGAGAAATTTTGTTTGCAGGCCACTTTACAGGTCAAAGTACGAGTTGTTTATGAATTTATGTTAAATTCATGTATATAGGCTACTTAAAAAAAAAAAAATGTAATTTTTTTTTGTGTTTTTTGTTTTAGGTTATTGAATAATGAAGGCTCTCTATTGGCGTATTCTGGATATGGAGACACTGATGCAAGAGTCACTGCAGCCATTGCCAGCAACATCTGGGCGGCTTACGACAAAAACGGACACCAGGCCTTTAATGAGGACAAACTGAAATTCATCCTGATGGATTGTATGGTAGGAATGTCATTGTACAGTTGGGTTATAGTAAATGATTGTGAATGCTGATCTTTGATATATGCAATAACATATGCATTATACAATATATGCACAAATTCAGCACAGCAGATGCTATAGGCCGTGTCTGGATTTACCAAACATATGTGCTTTTTTGAAATTACACCATGCCAGAAATAATACCAACATGATGAACTACTGTATTGTTCTACAATAATTTTTCCTTTATAATGTGCTGCATTTTCTCTGTCATTACAGGAGGGCAGGGTGGCCATTACACGTGTTGCAAACTTGTTGCTTTGCATGTATGCCAAGGAGACAGTAGGCTTTGGGATGCTTAAAGCCAAGGTGAGATTTGGTGTATATAAAATAGCTCTTAATTACTCTTAATTAATTATGTATTTTCATGAACAATCATAGTAACGGTGTCTGTTATGTTCACAGGCTGAAGCTTTAGTGCAGTACCTCGAGGAACCACTAACACAAGTGGCAGCATCGTAGGATGTACTTTTGTGTATTTCTGTACATTGAAACAGAAACTTCTGAAGATCTTGGCCTTTATAATATATTATCTATGGCTTTATTTATTTGCATACTCCGTATGATTGCTATATCAAATTGTGTGGCTATTAGACCCAAAATAATGCTTTGCATAAACATTAATAATTGCTTTTGAACTGCATTTTCCCTTTTTATTATATTTTCTTTATGTCTCAGAATTTTTGCAGTCCGTGATCAGGCTGTGTCTAGTGTCAACAATATTAAATAAATTTCTCTTTTTGTTACATGTTGTGGTTGTTTTACCTTTAAAACACAAGAAATTTATGCTTTTTATTAGTTATGTCTAGAATAATATTCATTGAACCAAAAAATACATTGTATAAAATAATGTATCTGAAGATGAAATATCACTTTATCACTTTGTTAAATAGGGTTTCTGTATTTTTTTAAATAGGTCTAAAGTCACACTATTGCAAATTAAGGCCATAAAATATCTTAAATCAGAGCAGAAAGTCTTGAATTCAGAAACTCTTGGCATTTAATGTTGCATACAATGTACAGTACAAATATCTAAACATCATTAAATCAAGATACATTTACTTAAGATGCAAAAAGTTATGAAGTCTTGTTTTCTGAGAAAATGAACAAAATTAAATGAGTTTGTACTTAAAGCAAGAACAAATATCTGTTAATAGGGTATGAAGACATTCCCATTTTTTTATTAAATTGCAGATATTTGTTCTAATTTAAATCATAAACACTTCATTTTGATCCATTTCTCAGAAAACAAGATTTTCTTATTTTATGTCATTTTGCTTCTAAAGTAAATGTATCTTGGTTTAAGAATCTTTAGACATTTGTACTGGAAAATAGACAAAAATACTGATAAAGAACATGAGGGTTTTTTTGTAGCGTCATCAGAAGGTACAGTAAAAGTTATTTCTAGTGGTTGGGAGCAAAAGCATTCGAGTCATAAGCTTAAATAATTTACATTTAGAGACCATAATGATGTTTTGTGTTCCATTCTATTTATTCCTTATATTTTGTTTACTCGGTCTTAAAAAGTCTTACATTTATCTTCATAAAACCTGCAGAAACTCTGTATAATATTTGGGTTCAAGCAATAATCCAAAATATGCACCATGGGAGGGGCTCTTCCATGGCAAATGCCTTCCTGATCTTGGGAGAAACTGCTTAAAAAAAGCGATTGGTTGCATATGGTGTGTATGTCGTCGTTTCATTGGCTGAACAGGTGCACTATTGCACCCAGTTTCATATGACTGCACCTGCGCTCGCCCTACCTGTTTGACCTGACTTGAGCGCACCAAAAGTCACGCCCACCTTCCCCCAGGTACGGCACATTTGATAGCGGAACTGCCAGGCTAAATAACAAGGCCAGTTCCTTGTACAAACAACTGAACTGTCCACCATAAACGGTGGGGTTTCATTCGCACTTCTTACTGTTTCTCTGCTATATCAGGTCAGCCGCTGTAGCATAGAGAGGAGGAACTTTCATTCTCGGTTTTCCTTGGAATTGATTGGGATTTTGACTCATGCAGCACTGATCTAGATTAGTGAAGGAAGATCTGCTTACAGTAGTGACAGTATGCGGTCTGATGAGGCCTACAACTTTGTTTTCAAAGGTAAGATCTGACACTTTTTTTGATTGAGTTGTCATGCACATTAAACAATCTCTGATGGAGCTTTAAACTCTTTTAGATGATGTTTAGTTAGTCTCATAATCTGCAAGCATTCATTTCACTGTTTGCAGTAGTTGTAGAGTAATGGTTGGTATATATATAATCATTAAAAAAGAAAACAGTTATAGAGAAATATATAAAGGGTTTCGAGCACCTTGTGCAATTCAATTCCTCCTTTTGTAAAGCTCTCAGTTTACCAAAAAAGAAATTGAGTCCCATAGGTTGGTTGAAATCTGATTTCCATGACAACAAGGTTTTGTTTACACAAGATTACTCAGTTAAGTTACTCAGTATGGGAGGGGAAATAATTGTATCTGTTAAAGCCCGTTGTGAAACTCTGATCTGCTAGAGCAGTCCTCAAACAACACCAAACCACAACGACTACTTAAAATGACCTGCATTATGTGTTGGTTTCATAACAGACTGAAGCAATATGAACAGGAAGTCTATTTAAAACATGCAAGATGATGATCATTTAAAGGGCCAGCTTTAATATGTTTATCACCTGTGTTGATGGTTTAATCTGAAATTACACACAGATATTTGTACGAGTTAATTAAAGGAATAGTTTGCCAAAAAAATAAATGCTGAAAATGTACTCACGCTCAGGTCATCCAAGATGTAGGTGAGATGGTTTCTTCATCTGAACAGATTTGGAGAAATGTAGCATCACTTGTTCACCAATGGATCCTCTGCAGTGAATGGGTGCCGTCAGAATGAGACTCCGAATAGCTGATAAAAACATCACAATAATCCACAAGTAACCCACACCACTCCAGTCCATCAGTTAATATCTCGTGAAGTGAAAAGCTGCGTGTTTGTAAGAAACTTAATAAGACTCATCATATTTTAAAACTTCAAACAGCTGCTTCCAGCTAAAATATGAGTCCTCTATCCATAATATTGCTTTCTCCAGTGAAAACGTTGTCTAGTCTGAATCAAAAGAAATATGAACAGATCAAGCATTGTTTACAAGTAAAAAGCAGCAGTTCTAGACATATGTGGGTGGATTTTGACGTGAAAGGACAAAAGAAGATCTTTTCACTAGACGAAGGGTTATTGTGGACTGTTATTTTAGCCAGAAGAAGTGAAGGTTTAATGTTAAAATGCCTTGATGGGTTTGTTTCTTACAAACGCTCTGCTTTTCACTGCACAAGATGACAGCTGATGGAGTTGTGTTGATTATTGTAATGTTTTTATCAGCTGTTTGGACTCTCATTCTGACGGCACCCATTCACTGCAGAGCATCCATTGGTGGTGAGCAAGTGATGTAATGCTAAAATTTCTCCAAATTTGTTGAGATGAGGAAACAAACTCTACATCTTCTATATCTTGGATTGTCCGAGTACCTTTTCTGCAAATATTCATTTTTGGGTGAACTATTCCTTTAATATTTTTTATAGGCTTTTAATGTATATAATTGCCATTTCTCCTAACATAATATGATAAATGAACTCCAATCCCAGAAATGTCAAAATAGTCCTGCATGGGTGGAGTGTTGATTTTACTCCTGACATGTTTGAGTCATTTTTGTTTACACCTGCAATTAGCTGGGTTTTCATAAGGAGTGCTATACTGGGACATACTGTTCATCCAGTGTTGGTTTGTTTTGACAAGAATATGAGGATCAGACATGTTTCAAGTGTCTCAAGTTTGAATGCACAACAAGCCTGGACAATTTTGTAATAAGGATGCAGATTTGTGATTGTATAGTACGTTTTGCCTCTTAATGTTGCACTTGTTGTTGAAGAGTTACTTGCCACAAAAGCCCAAGACAACAAACATGACATTGTAACAAATTACATCATGAATTTGTGAGTGGCTGGTATTTTAATCCACAACTAATCATTGATTTTACACAAGTTAGTGTTTCTTAATACACCAAGCAAGGATCTGTCACAAATGCTTAAGCTATACCAAGAGAACGCTTTTGGGCCCCATTCATCACAGGGCCGGGACATTCATGGTTGTTGTTTCCAGATGATTGGCATGACTCAAGTCTGGGTTGGTAGTTTTTCCAGACTCATATGCATTTTGTTGCAGTGGTTCTTATTGGAGAATCTGGCGTTGGCAAGAGCAACTTGCTGTCACGGTTTACCAAGAATGAGTTTAGTCATGACAGCCGGACAACCATCGGAGTGGAGTTCAGCACAAGAACTGTGCAGCTAAACGGCCTCACCATCAAAGCTCAGATCTGGGACACAGCCGGATTGGAGCGGTACCGGGCCATCACATCTGCGTGAGTTTAACATAGGTATAACATTGAAGTACCTGACAAATGGTGGTGCAAAACAAGCAAATATGCCCATAGTTCCCCAAAAACGACAATTATATCAATTACTCAGCATCATGTTGTGTTTTTCTTGTTTCTGTGGAACATGAAACACTTTTTCTTAAAAGGGAATGGTGACCACAGGTGTGAGCTCAAATAAAAAGAAATAAATAGTTTTATTTGATTTATTTTACTGTAATCATGTTTCACCACCCATTGCTATACAATTCATTTCTCACCTGTTGTTCTAAACCTTTTTCATTATGTAATCTTGCTTATGACATAATGTTTTATGACAGTGTTCTGTTCATTTAAAAAGAGGAAGTAAATCGAGTCATCTGATTTGATCGGATCTGTTTTCCTGTATCTCAGATATTATCGAGGAGCGGTTGGAGCTCTGCTAGTCTATGACATTTCAAAGCACTTGACGTATGAAAGTGCCGAGCGCTGGCTGAAGGAGCTCTATGATCACGCAGATCCGCATATCGTAGTGATGCTTGTGGGCAACAAAACGGACCTGTCAGCAGTACGAACTGTTCCAACAGAGGACGCAAAGGACTTTGCAGGTCATTACTGAAGACAGCTTATTATATTATACAGGATTATGCAAAATTCACAGAGAAACTCAAAAGGCTTCACGACAACCCTTCAAAATAAAAGTTCGGCCTAACTTGAAGAAATTATAACAGAAATATATTACTATTGCACATATTGGAGAAAATACAAAATTATATACATATTACTAGTGCACAGTAGGAATATTTTAAGGAATATTAAAATGCCTAATCCATGTTTTAATTAAAAAAAAATATTATTTATTAAAAATGAAAGCAATTATTCAATTTTTGTTTGACTACAATTTAAAAGATTAACTAAACTGTTGGTTTTATCATTTGATTTGATTACTACCATTGATAGTATTAGTATTGATAGTAGTATTGATAGTAAATTTGTATTTGGTATTACAGTGTTTTTTTATATTCTATGTACTCCTGACAGTAAAATAAGCCACTATAAACCCATATAAATGTCCAGTCATGAAAAGAAAAAAAAAACCTTTACTCTAAAGAAAATCAGTAAAAATGTACTGTAAATCAGGTACAGTGTACTGAATTAATATGAGGGAATTTTGAAGGTGTTTTATCTATATTTTGAATTTTGCAGTGCATTGTGTTTTAGAGTTAACAGAGATGTAAATGTACATTATACATTTCCAGTCTATTTGTTTTTAAACAATGAAACCGCAATGCAAGAAAAAAAAAATCAGTAGAAAATGGATAACATCCTTGCGTAAAATTACATTTTCTGCTAAATTGACAGACATTTCCTTAAACCCTCAAACACTACACAATGCAAAGCATAATTCAACTAATGGGCTAAACACCTGTAAAATAAATCAGTACAGAATTTTCCTTCATAGTACATTGGGAAGTATTTTTACAGACTTCTCTTAGCGTGTATATATTATTATATATAATTTAGCAAAATCAAATATTGATATTCATATTATCATTCTTTTTTGTAGAAAAGAATGGTCTTCTGTTCATGGAAACCTCTGCTTTGGAGTCAGTAAACGTCGAGGCAGCGTTCAACACTGTGCTTACAGGTAGCTACTGTTTATTCTGAACACATCATACCGTATTTACATGTACTTTACATGTGTTCCTTGCCCTCTGGGTTTCTCCTCTTCAGTCAGGCTTGAAATAGTGTAAAGACTTCATTATCATATCATGCTGTCATCGTTTGATCTCTTTCTTTCAGAAATCCATAAAAAGGTGAGCAGCAAAGAAGTGACCCGAGGCTCTATCAATGCTGTGACATTATCCCAGCCTAAAGCTGCAGCAGATGACGCACAGGAGGAAAAGAAGGCCTGCTGTAAGAACCTGTGAAAGAACATTCCGGGTAGAAGGACTTCACCAGGGGCCTAAAGGAGTTGTGAATTCAGCTTGTACAGTAGAGCTATCATTACGAAAGAACGAGTATGATAAAAAACAAAAGGAAATCCATTTCATTGACTGACATAGCCATATTTCTATTGTTAAATATTATAACAAGTAAAAGGCATTTTAGTGTTTGACAAGGATTAATGTCAATTTTAATTAATTGTAATGTGTTTTCCCTAAATGTTACCTCTCAGTAGGACATTTTTGTTTGTATTATTTATGAAATGTCATGCCAAACTTTTTTTTTTTTTTTAACTTAAATGTATTCATTTAACAGACACTTTTTTTTTAATCCAAAGAGACTTACAAATTAAGAATACAACAAGCTATTCATCTTACTCAAGTTATAAGATCAACAGATGCTGGAGGAATAACTTTATCACTTTAATATGTTTCGATTTGCATGTTCATCCTCACTGTTTAGTTTTTAATTTGATTTATTCAACACACCTAATGAAGACAACTGACAAAAAACCCACACACATATGATTAAGAAAATAATTTTTATTAAGACTAATCAGCCCTAATTAAATATTTTGTGTTATTAAAATCTATAAATAAAGCATTTATAAGCAAAGTGTTGATTTGTATCTTCATAAATGAATGCTGATGCTGCAGGTATTATCAGTTGCTGCTGTTAACACAACATAAAGAAAATATACACAGCATGTCATTTTCCAATAAGAAGTAAAGCAGAAATATGTATGAAAATGAATTGTTTTTTCACAATGAGTCTCAAGTGCAGTTTGCAAAATGTCTAACAACAACACAACATTTATGAATCATCATTATTCAATATAAACAGAATAATAAATATGAATTTAAGAATAAGCTTTCAATTTATTACTTGGAAAATTAATTGATTTGACCAGTTTGAATTAGAACTGGCTCTTTGCAATCATAAATGTTGGATTAATTATGATTATTTATAGTAATTGTGAAATACACCACTATATATAAAAATTCTTAATTAGAACTTAAAAGAATTTTAGTCTCATGCTCACCAAGGCTGCATTTATTTGATTAAAATGACCATAAAAATAGTAATATTGTGAAATATTATTTCTATTACTATTTTTATGGTAAATAAACACAGCCTTGATGAGCATAAGAGACTTCTTCTATGTACTACTAATCAAAAGTTCTTCTTTTTTTTTTACGATTTTTTAAAAATGTTTTTGAAAGAATATATATTGAATTTATAGGGAAGTGATATTTTATTTTCAAACACTGATTACTAATCTAAAATGGTTAATTCACACCCATAAAAATTCAAATGACACATCTATGCAATTTCATTTTAAATTCAGTAATTAAAATGGAATTTAAATGGCATGTTCAGTTCAGTTCAGTCCCTGAATGGTGCACAGCCCTGCCTCCTACGTGGCATTTTCAGGCCCCATCATCCTCTGTAAAGCATGAGTGAAGTCACGCTGTGGAATGTGGAAGAGCTCACCTGCACACCTGTGACTCCGTGCTTTCTTTTACACTAGCTATTTTTCAAAAAGTATTGACCAGCTACCTCGTGTTTTATTATAACTTATATTTTTATTCTAAGACGTATATTGATTGTATCATTACACTCTGCGTTTATATATTGCCTGACAACTACAAAAGACACACCTGTGACTACACACCTGTACGGAAGCCCCGTCAAGCATTTCATTGGGTCCCAGAGGTTCACGCGTGTGATAGACAGGATAGTTGGCCAATAAGATCATAGGAAAGGCGGGGCTACATCTCAGCACAATGACGTAAGTGTTTGCCTTAAGATGAGACAGCAGAGCGAAACTTGGTTGACGTAGCCCAGCAACATCGTATCAAAGTTGATTAGCTGTCATTTTGGCTAATTCGGGACCTATTTTATCTTAACGATTACTTAATATATAACCGTCGACAGGAGGAAATATATTGTATATTTTTATTTTTGGCTTCTGAGAGTCTTTAACGCATGAAGCGCTCGTGATCAACTGATGCGTCTCATAAACAAAGTTTCTTTGACGTCGTAGTAAATATAATAGCACCTTGTGGTTCTCTAGAAGAGCATAACGTCGTTATATCTGAAAACACGGACTTGTTAATAAGCTGGTAAGAAGATTAAAGCCATGACGGGTAGAGAGGACGAGTATGACTATCTCTTTAAAGGTGAGCACCACGTTACTTTCTGCACTTCCACACTTAACGATGAGCTCCTGCATGTCGTCTTCATGTGTTGCTTGTCTCCCTAGTCATATATGTCTTCTTTTTCTGTCCTAAAACACACATGAGCATATCCAAGACGTGATTTGCAGCTGTTTCAAGCAGGTCCAAGTTGGTCAGTCGCTGCTAGACCACCTTGGACCAGCAAAAAACCAGCTGGTCACACTGCCTTTGGCTGGACAAGCTGGTTTTTGGGTCATGGTGGCAGGTTAACCAGCTATTGATCATCTTAGGTCAGGCCGAAGCAAGTGTCATGTTCCAAAACACAGCTACAGTCTGGATTTTCCAACAGGGCAAATGCATAAGCAGGGCAAAAGATATAGAAATTGTATATTTTAATCATTTCTAAGTGCTATTTTTTTTATTGATTATATAATGCACAACATGACTGGCTTCTCCTAATGTGTCTTGTTTTATTTTATAATT